TCCAATTGGAGCGCGGTCCCCCACTCCCTTCAGAGAAGAGAGTGTTGAAGTGTGTGTGCGAAGGGGGGTGAAGTGTGGTTATCACTCCCCGTGAGATGGGCCTGGTTTCTTGGAGTGTGATTCATCATCATAATGGTAGTGTGAGACACTTGTCAATTCCCTCTGTGAAAATTTTTCCCCACAATATCTGTAAATTGCCTTTCCTTCCCCGTCCATGTTCATCATGCACCAGGCTGAGAGTGGGACGGGACAAGTATTGCCACCATTGTTGCACCACTTTACTAGCAAGGGATTCCAAAATTTACCACATTGGTACTCTTGGGGGGGGGGGGGGGGGGTTGCATTGGCAAGGAGAAGAATTTTCATGATAAGGGTAATCAAGCGCCAATGAACATCTTCATTGAAAATTTCAGTTTTTTTGTGTAGTTATAGTCTTGAACTTGCAACCTGCAGGCATGTGTGTGTTGACAATTGGACTATGGGTCCACAGTAGTCCTGTTCTGGTTTGTTGTTTATAAAGGGCTTGTGTGAGGATTAGTTCAACAGCAATCAAATTACTCCTCCCCTCATTGTTGCAATACTTTTTATTTTTCTACAAATAAAAATCACCAATATATAAATAGTGGGTTGATATTCTGACCATGTAAGGCATCTCACCACTCTTGGTTTTTCTATAGGCATTCATGAAGACATCATCATATTGAGTACGGCTCAAATTCTTCAATCAAATCATGAAGATATTTGTCATCTGATAAGTTTTCAATTGCCTTCAAATTTCAAGAAGAAGTGCAGACAGTGACACTGAAAGATTTAAACTCAGTTTTCATTAATTTGGTTGATGTATTTGGTTTGTTGATTGTTGGAATTTAGCTGTTGTTGTTCCTTTTTCCCTCTTCTCCCTGTCACACATTTCACTCCTTCCGCATCTGTCATTCCTTTGTCACTCACTTCCAGATGAATATGCTTCTTCATCTTCTGTCCCACAACTTGGCCATAAATTGTATGTAGATAAATATTCATAAATCTGAGTTAGAGAATTTATCCATCAGTTCTTCTGCACATTGATCCCTGGTGTTTCTACAGGATACAACCACTTGTAGTGAGAAAAAAATTTCCGACTCACAAGCTAGCAGCTCCTAGCCCTCTTTGAAGGCTCTTTGACCATTTTTTTTCTCTCTGAGCTTTTTCCTCAAGAGTTTTTGCTTCCGTTTGCTCCTCCCTCCTTTGGCTCTTAGAGCTAAAAGTTCTTCATTGATTGTAGGTATAGATCTTCCTCAATCCTGATCAGTGAATATTTCATTCCAACATTGGATTTTTTGCAACAAAAATCTTGGGTGATTCTGTCATAGCTTCCTCAAAAAGCTTAAGAAGAAGTCCTTTAAAAGTAAAAGATGGAAACCAACCAAAAGCTTACTTGCTCATCTTTCAACCAGATTTTTGGTGATTCCCTACTGGATGGTTGGTCTTGAAAAACACATTCTTCTTTTGCATCATTGAACTTGTTCAAGGAGCACTCCAATTTTGTTTAATTTTGGTCTCTGAGACTGATTGTGTCTTTTGCTTTTACTTCAGGTCTCAAACTATCCTTGATTGTAAATCCTGGTTGGCTGCTGATCCATCAACTTTGTCATAGTACCATCTACATGGAGAAAAAAAATGAAAAACTTGACAATTGATCATGAGTTTAAGCTATAATTTAGGGTTTCAACAACCTGTAGAAATAAATTGGGGAAAAAATGGGTGAGAAAAATAAATAAAAATTGGAATCACTCTTTTTTGGAATTTTTGACATGCCTAAAAAGAATGTTGAAGTTTAGATGATTTTCATCATATTTACAATCCCCAAAAAGTGGATAAAAAGGGCTGGGAAAACCCAGGTTTCAAAGCAGAAAAACAGGTCTGGATAACCAGGTTTAAAAGCAGAAAAGTAGGTCTGAAAAACCAGGTGCACTTAGAGAAAAGAAAAGGGGGTTATGTTTATTCATCCCCTATATTTATTTATACAAGACAGTCTAATAATTTTTCAATATGGTTTTCAAAGCTGATTTAAAGTCTAATTAAAATACAAAAATCAATATTCAAACAAATTTGTTTCTTCTTATGTTTTACATCACATTCCACCAGGAGTCTTAGCTGGAAAAAGCACAAGTGAAACTTTTCAAAAGATTTTGAATTTGACACCTATGGAACAAATCTTCCCAGTTCCAAGAGTTTTCATTTTTCAAGTCAAGCCATGTTTTTTCTGCCTTTTCAACAATTGAAATTAACTTATCCAAAGCATCATATTCATTTTTTTTGGTCTGTCCATTCTAATCAACAATCATATTGGAAACGTTATTCAGATCAATTGAGTCTTGGAATAGTAGTCTCAGAGAGGCTTTAATAATAAAATAAAACATTGATTATTTTGTAGAATTATCCAGATCATGAAACAGGTGAACAGACTTGCCTTCATTCTTTTTCCAACTATTGATTATCAAGGAACCTATCAGGGGAAAAACAGCTTGAGCCAGTTTCAAATTCTATTGCTCATATTCATAAATACAAATCAGTAAGTTTAAACTTTATGTATGCTCTTGCTTGGTTAGAGGCTCTACTATTTTGACCACACCATCATAAGTCAATGATATTTATTCACATTTTCCATTGTTGACAGTAAGATGAGAAGCTGGGTCATCCTAAGAGAAATCCATTTGTTCTGCTTTCAAAGGTTTTAACTTAAAATGATTTGTTGATTCTTCTTTGATTTGAGGCATGGAAGAGCTTTTCAGTTTTAATTTTAGACCAGGTCAAGATATCATCAGAGTAAATCAACATCCATTCCAATCAGACAAAGAAACCAACACTGAAAAGTGAGTATCACAGCAAAGGGGTTTCTCCATTCCAGTTTAAATACTTGGAAGATTCATGTAGAAGGCATGTGAGATAGATCACACCCTGATAAGAAGAATGATCCCGGAAAGAATCTTAGATTCAAAAAATAACACTTCAGATTTTCTTTGCAATTGGAATGGTAGAATGGCAGTCACAATGTGTTTTTTTTTTCAAGGCAGAGACAGATATATTTCAGTTCTTGACTCAAAGAATACCCCACACTGCCTGGTGGTGGTGGGTGCAAGAAGAATGTTGAAGAAATGCTGGCCCAGCTATGCTCACTGTAGTGGTTAGCACAGCGTAACATAGCAGAATTCCACTAAACTTTAGCATAGCATAGCGGAATTCTTCCACGTCCACACTAACACTACATGTTCAGGCCCTTAAAAAGTGCCCGCTATGCTGCGCTAACGCGCTGGTTAGAGGAATTTTGGCCCTGTAGCAGATGTTAGCGGCCCGTAGTGCAGCATAGTGTAGCAAAAAACCACTACCTTTTTGCTAACACTATGTGATTTTGGTGCACAAAAAAAACCGCTACGCTAATGCTTTTTGGGCAAAAGGTGCAGTGTAGCGTAGCCGCCCAGCATTGGTTGGAGGTACCTGAAAGCTATGAATTCCAGGTACCCAAGCATCATCCTTCCTTAGGTGAAGAACTGTGCTTGGCACTCCCATTGCCCAACTTGGTGGATGTTTCTAGTCCGCCAAGCTGCAAAAATTCTACCAAAAACAAAGAAAAAAATAGCCAGAAAATGTCACCCATCCCTTTTGGGCAAATTGGAAAGA